GGGGTGTGGGGGGGGGTGTGTGTGTACATATTCATTAACATAATCATTTCAATTCAATATATTACGATTAATAATTGTCATCCACCTAGTTTATCAGCAATCTACTATTTATTAAGAAATACTCAAATATTGTACCTATGACTGTGACGATAAATGCGCAAGTCCTCGAGTTCCCTGAGAAGTCAGTTGCGGTGAATGCAATATTGTGGTCCCCGATCGGATAGTTTCCGCCAATAAGCGAGGGGTCGTTTATAACTGGCGCAACCAGACTGTTATCCGTAGCCTCCAATACATCCCATGACGCAGAACCAGCTGCCTCACCAGGACTGGTGTTAACGATGATATTAGATGGACAGTTTGTAAACACAGGTGGTGTATTATCTGTACCCCAAATAATAAAGTACCCCAAAATTAATTTCATGTGATACACATATAATATACTACACGAATTATAAATACTTGCATTTATCCTGTAAATTATTGGCATAGGCCTTACCTTACTCTCTGTTTTTCTTATATTCAAATTTTAGCTATTGATTATTTAATATATACATATATATATACATATATATATATATATATATAAATTAGTAGTCATATTTAAAGGGGGACATAAGTATTTCTCCAATATCTTATCAGAAGTGAAATTGACTATTATTATATTTTACTTGTATTTTGCCATTTGCTTCATATTTTAGAGGCCCTAAATACAATGTTTCAATGGCTTGCCTTTGAGTGTTTCAGAGTAGTTACAAGATATCCTTTACTTATTTAGTTTCAGAATTAAGTACAGATTCATTTGTTTTGAAAAAATTGTCAGATGTTCTGTGTATGCCTTTTAGATATTATATTGAAAAATAAATACTATCATGTTTTTATTTCAAAATATATACAGATCGATATGTAGTAAATTTATTTGGGCAAAATATAAGGCGATAAAGTATCTACTAGACAGAGGCGATGATATAATCTGAGTCAAATAATAGTAAAGTGTTATACATTTTAAAAATACACTCTTAAACATTCCTTTTGGATTAAAGCAAGGACCAATGCCTATTTTTCCACCTAATTCTAATATGAGTGTTATTCTAGAATCAGACTATGCCTACTATTTAAACCAGACGCTATCCGTCCGGGTTGAATCGGGGTCTTCAGCACAAACTAGTTTTGATGAGTGTCGTATTAGCAATCTTGGTTTAAGCAAGACAACTGTTATAACACATAGATTATTAACAGTCTTTTTTAAGACTGGAGATATTAGATGGACAGTTTGTAAACACAGGTGGTGTATTATCTGTACCCCAAATAATAAAGTACCCCAAAATTAATTTCATGTGATACACATATAATATACTACACGAATTATAAATACTTGCATTTATCCTGTAAATTATTGGCATAGGCCTTACCTTACTCTCTGTTTTTCTTATATTCAAATTTTAGCTATTGATTATTTAATATATACATATATATATACATATATATATATATATATATAAATTAGTAGTCATATTTAAAGGGGGACATAAGTATTTCTCCAATATCTTATCAGAAGTGAAATTGACTATTATTATATTTTACTTGTATTTTGCCATTTGCTTCATATTTTAGAGGCCCTAAATACAATGTTTCAATGGCTTGCCTTTGAGTGTTTCAGAGTAGTTACAAGCTATCCTTTACTTATATAGTTTCATAATAATGTACAGATTCATTTGTTTTGAAAAATTTGTCAGATGTTCTGTGTATGCCTTTTAGATATTATATTGAAAAATAAATACTATCGTGTCTTTATTTCAAAATATATACAGATCGATATGTAGTAAATTTATTTGGGAAAAATATAAGGCGATAAAGTATCTACTAGACAGAGGCGATGATATAATCTGAGTCAAATAATAGTAACGTGTTATACATTTTAAAAATACACTCTTAAACAAACATTCCTTTTGGATTAAAGCAAGGACCAATGCCTATTTTTCCACCTAATTCTAATATGAGTGTTATTCTAGAATCAGACTATGCCTACTATTTAAACCAGACGCTATCCGTCCGGGTTGAACCGGGGTCTTCAGCACAAACTAGTTTTGATGAGTGTCGTATTAGCAATCTTGGTTTAAGCAAGACAACTGTAATAACACATAGATTATTAACAGTCTTCTTTAAGACTGGATGACATGCCAATGAAAAATAGATCACATGAGATAAGTACAAACATACTGTGTCTAAATTACATTTTAAACAAAATTGTGATTTTGAAAGATGCTTAATAAAACTAAACTTGCCCGATAAAATAAACCTGTGTAAATTCCTTTGTGGGAACCATAAGATACCTATTTCTGAGTTCCAATACTTACAGGTAGCATCAAGAAAATTATAAGGCATAGGTGACGAGTTTTAAAATGACCTGTTTTAATTGTTCTTAGCTTATTTAGTTAAAGAAATGTTAATGTTTATGAAGTAAAATTACTTCATAAAATTTGTTTTCTAGTTTAAGTTGGTTTGTACAGCTGCTCTCATATCCCGAAAGGAGACGATAGAGAAATGAATGAATGAATAAATGAATGAACAAGAACGGTACAGATTTACGTACCTTCTACTCTTACAATGAATGTACATTGAACTGTGAGGGCAGCATTATCCACAGCAGTGAACGTCACGGTCGTATCGCCTAATGGAAATGTGTCGCCACTATTATGTGTACTGGTCACGGATGGCGAAACTCCAGAGTTATCTACAAAACTTGGATTTGACCAGGAAACAGGAGCCGTAGAAGCAGAAGCCGAGATAGCCCCTACCACGGTGCCAGGACAAAAATTAATAGTAGGTGGTTGTGTATCTGGAAATATAAAATTATTACAGCATCTGGAGTAAATGGGTCTCTCATTTCCTTTTATTTCTCATTTTGATTAAATACAATAACTGTCTGTTTCCCCCCCCCCCCCTTCCGTTTTTCACAGGCCGGCATTTATGTTTTTGGGGCCATTGTCTCGATTACAATTCCTGAGCTCCCGGTCGTCTGTGGCAGGGCAAATGTGTTTCCAGTTCCTTCGTTTGAGCCACCTTGGCGGAGGTCCGGGAATGCGCCAGGGTGGTGATGGATGGTGACCCCGAAGAGTATTTGCGTCTTTATTTTGCCTATCTTCCAATTCATGTCAGTTCTGTCATAAAATAAATATAGGTCTACATAAAAATAAACAATTTAAATATTTAAAATAAAATAAATTAATTAATTTAAAAAAAATAATAATAATGCAGAAAAAAGCCTACATGTAACTCTGCAGGTGTAAAACGGCGCCCCGAGCAGCTCTACCAAGAGATGGATACGTGCGCTTAATAAGATGACATTATTGTTATTATTATTATTAATATTGAATGAAAACCAATATACTAGACCAACTTTATAACATAAACAAACAATTGAGAACATAGGCCGCTACTGAGCATTCAGTACGATAACTCGTGAAGTGGGCAAATTATGTATGCAAACATCATTCGTATTTATTATGAAACAACCTTACTGATTATGCATTTTAATGAAAGAGAGATTCTAACTATTTATTTGTTGCTTTATTTACAAACTTTTGCTACGAAAGTCTTTAAAATACCTAAATGGTGGCGCCAGTAAGGAAGGAAATCCCCGGCGGTGGAAAACTGGATTCTGTCGGGGAGAAAAAAAAAAACAATTCATCAGGGAAGGAAAAAATGTATTTTTTTACATATTAGTATACTCTAAAAACGCCCTGGACCACTTCCAATGTCTTTTCCCTGGACCCCCCCCCCCGTCGGGCAAATCTTTGCGTATAGGATATAGACCTAGGTAATGAGACAAACTTTAGGCCTCTCAATTATTTCGCATGATGAGTTCTTGCGTACCAGTAACCGTGACGTCATATGTACACTGAGCTTGGTTATTCGCAGCGTCTGTTGCTGTACATGTTATTGTTGTCAATCCGATATTAAGCTGGGATGAACCGATTCGGCTACAGTACAGGTGAGTCACGCCTATGTTATCCGTGGCCTCAGCATTATCTAATGTCATGGCTGCATACGATTGGTTTGGATCCGCCACGTCACTAATTGCATCCGGGCATGTTATAACTGGAGCCTCTTCATCAAGAACTATATCAAATTGCATAAAATTTCAAAAATAATTAACATAATGAACACCTTTATGTCATAACGCCCCAACTAGAATTATTCGTTACGCTTTCATTGGAAAATGATCATTTGGTTAGGCCTAAATTGTCTTTTATAATTTCTAAGGCCCAATAAAAATATATTAGTTTATCACCCTCGCGTGCATGTCGTTTGTATGGTACAGTTAAAGTAGTAGAAATTGTTTGTATTCTCTCAATCATGTTTAACTAGCTTTGAATATCAATGCACCAGACCAGCAAACAACCCAATAGTGATATTTGGCTTTGGCAAAATATATAATTTAAAAGAAAACCTCCCTCCTGCATCACTTTTCCATCCTAGATAAACCAGGGTAGTTGTTATAAGTTGTCACTATAACAACTCCCTGGATAAACTAATAATACTATTTTATATAAGCCCTAGTACTTTTTCATTATATTTCTTGCTTTACAATGCTGTTTTAAAACAACATAGACATAATAATAATAATAATGTTGAAATTACCAATTTTTTTTTTAAAATGTAAGAAGTTAAAATAGAAAGCCAAAAAGTAATTTACCTTGTTTACATATACCACAGTGATTATCACTACATCTAACTTCTTCCCAATCGTAGTTCCTGCTTCCATCTAAAGCGGTGCAAAACTCCCACGATCTCTCTTCGAAGTCATTCGCATCAGTCATGTAATCAACATCACTCCCATCTGTCCAATAATATTCCCTTGTCGAGTATTCTAATATGAGTCCTATAAACACTTTAGAATGAATGGAATCTCTAACTAGCTCTCTGACAAATTCTTGTTCCTCCATTGAATGGATTGATACAAGTGTAGCGCCAACTGAGTTACAGCTATCCACCGCATCGTCTATATCAGAATTCCCGCATTCAAATGTATAGCACTGGCCTTGGAACTCCCCATTGCAGTTTGCTATAACCAAATAGAAAATACACATATGATTCGAAGATAAGTTTTTGAATAAGTTTGCACAATCCGCAATAAAATGTTTATCACCTTTTAGGACCGATGAGCTCGGGGCTTAACCATGGACTACACCCGTGTGCCCAGGCGGCCCTCATTCTCTCAGCTTTTTAGTGAGTAAATTCAAGCTATTGTCCCTTCCAAAACACATGAAAACGTAATTTACTATCCTTCAAAATGAATAAATTCATTTAAATATTAAGGTTGTGTACGGTAGCTATTAGGCCTACACGTGAAGATACAAATTCATTATCTTACTTTGTATATATTTAAGTAGAATAATATATTATATATTATAAATGTTAAGATTATTCTTCAAATAATATTTTTATTGCCAATTAACAGAAGTTTATATCGTTTTTTTAAAGACCCTTAACATAACTGGTAATTATTAACAGCAGTTCTAGCACATTGTGAGAAGTACATACATCATTATATTTTGTATAAAGCTACATAAAATCGACAGATTTTAATGATGCCTATATCAACCATCACACGATTCACGGGGATGGTCGTCGGCTATATACTTACCAGTACAAAACTGACAAAGATGATACAGAAAAAGTACCTGCAATGCACAAGAAAATGATAATAATAATAATAATAATAATAATAATAATAATAATAATAATAATAATAATAATAATAATAATAATAATAATAATAATAATAATAATAATAATAACAAAACAGTACAATAATAACAACAATAAAAACAGTAACAGCAACAGCAATGAAGACACAAGCATTTCTTTATACACGTTTATTTACGATAACGTAGGACCTATGAGGCTTAATAAACTTCGGGAATACGGGAGATAGGCTTGGTAACATGGGAACTGGCATGAAAAGCGCCACCCCAATATTTTTTATAAGCGCCGCTCTCGAATGATAAGCAACGCACTGAAGCTTTCAAAAATATTATAAGCGCCGCGGCGCTTATTCGATCATTTACAGTAATAATAATACAGTTTGTTTTTTTCTCTTTCGTGGGAATTTCACCCACATTTATTTCTATCTATTTTTGTTACATTTTGATTTTTTTTTTCTGTCATCAATGACATAAAATATAAAAATTAAAACTAAATTGCGCTTAAAAAGGGTCAGTCCGCAAAGGCTGACTGTCATTTTTTAAACTTTTATTAATTTCTAAAAAATACATAATTATATTCTTTTTCTTTTAGGTCCCAAAAAGTAATTCATTGAGTATGTTAATATACATCTCATTCAAAAATTTTACTTACACATGCACATGTATATACTGTATATATACACGCACATACATACACACCAATACCATATAGGCCTACTTATACATATACATATTTTTTTATTTCAACAATTCCTAATTTTTTTTCTTTTATGTACAAAACAGAAAGGTAACTGCTGATGGAATATCATTGATAATGTTAATGAAGTCCATACCATTTTCCATCTCAGATCAATAATTAATATAATAATCTTTATAATAATAAAAACAAAAGTCAAGAACTTTCTTCTAGTAATTTTCAAACGTACATCATTCTATATATTTATACACACACACACATACAAAAAAGATGTGTATAAGAGACAGCAACATAGACATAATAATAATAATAATGTTGAAATTACCAATTTTTTTTTTAAAATGTAAGAAGTTAAAATAGAAAGCCAAAAAGTAATTTACCTTGTTTACATATACCACAGTGATTATCACTACATCTAACTTCTTCCCAATCGTAGTTCCTGCTTCCATCTAAAGCGGTGCAAAACTCCCACGATCTCTCTTCGAAGTCATTCGCATCAGTCATGTAATCAACATCACTCCCATCTGTCCAATAATATTCCCTTGTCGAGTATTCTAATATGAGTCCTATAAACACTCTAAAATGAATGGAATCTCTAACTAGCTCTCTGACAAATTCTTCTTCCTCCATTGAATGGATTGATACAAGTGTAGCGCCAACTGAGTTACAGCTATCCACCGCATCGTCTATATCAGAATTCCCGCATTCAAATGTATAGCACTGGCCTTGAAACTCCCCATTGCAGTTTGCTATAACCAAATAGAAAATACACATATGATTCGAAGATAAGTATTTGAATAAGTTTGCACAATCCGCAATAAAATGTTTATCACCTTTTAAGACCGATGAGCTCGGGGCTTAACCATGGACTACACCCGTGTGCCCAGGCGGCCCTCATTCCCCCAGCTTTTTAGTGAGTAAATTCAAGCTATTGTCCCTTCCAAAACACAAGGAAACGCTACTGACTATCCTTCAAAATGAATAAATTTATTTAAATATTAAGGTTGTGTACGGTAGCTATTAGGCCTACACGTGAAGATACAGATTCATTATCTTACTTTGTATAAATTAAGTAGAATAATATATTTTATTAAATGTTAACATTATTCTTCAAATAATATTTTTATTGCCAATTAACAGACGTTTATATCGTTTTTTAAAGACCCTTAACATAACTGGCTAAGACCCTTAACATAACAACAGTTCTAGCACTTTGTGATAAGTACATACATCATTATATTTTGTATAATGCTACATTAAATCGACAGATTTTAATGATGCCTATATCAACCATCACACGATTCACGGGGATGTTCGTCGGCTATATACAGATGTGTATAAGAGACAGTATGTACACTGAGCTTGGTTATTCGCAGCGTCTGTTGCTGTACATGTTATTGTTGTCAATCCGATATTAAGCTGGGATGAACCGATTCGGCTGCAGTACAGGTGAGTCACGCCTATGTTATCCGTGGCCTCAGCATTATCTAATGTCATGGCTGCATACGATTGGTTTGGATCCGCCACGTCACTAATTGCATCCGGGCATGTTATAACTGGAGCCTCTTCATCAAGAACTATATCAAATTGCATAAAATTTCAAAAATAATTAACATAATGAACACCTTTATGTCATAACGCCCCAACTAGAATTATTCGTTACGCTTTCATTGGAAAATGATCATTTGGTTAGGCCTAAATTGTCATACCCAGAATCTTAATTGGTTCATCTACCCAATTTAAGCTCATGGTTTTTCATTTTTATTTTTATTTTTTCCGATCCATATGGCGTTTGTTTTGCCATTGTTTAGATTCATTCCAGATACTTTACCAAAATTACCAACAATATTTAGACCATTCTCAATACTCTTTTTTATTTCCAACAAACAGTACAGTGTCATCTGCAAGTTGTGCAATACGCACTTCCTCATATTTTCCTTGACTAGGTATTGATATTCCTTTAAAGTGTGAACTATTTCTTATATCACACGCCATGATTTCCACGACCAGAATAAATAACAACGCCGACAATGGGCAACCCTGTCTAATGCCACTTCTCATTTCAAAACCGTCAGATACCCATCCGTTATTAACAATGACACACTCTGTCTTATTATAAATTGTATTAATCCATTTATGAAAAGAGTCTCCAAAATAAAATTTTTCTAATACCTTAAATACAAATTCCCTACTCACGGGGTCGAAGGCTTTTCTAAAATCAAGGGATAGAATAGCACATTCCATTTCCTTTTCAGCCGTATAATGAAGAACATCATTAATTAGCCGAACATTTTCCCTAGCAAAGCGCCCTTTAATGTATCCTTTTTGGTAATTTTTAATAACACTTTCAATACTTTGTGAAGTCTTGAACATAAAATTTGTGTTAAAATCTTGTAATCCGTGTTTATTAATGAGATAGGACACCAATTTCCTAATAATTGTTTATCCCCGTATAATAAATTTATTACACCCCGTTTCTGTGTATGGCTCATTTCTTTTTTAAAATAACACTCGTTAATTGCATTACAAACAATTTGTTTAATTTCTTTCCAAAAATAATTATAAAACTCAACGGCCAGACCGTCACATTCTGGAGCTTTATTTAACTTCATTTTTCTTATTGCTTCATCACATTCTTCTATAGTCACGATGCCTTCACATACACCCTTTTCTTCCTCAGATAAACTGTTTACTTTTATTTTATGTTATTTTTTTCGAAACTGAGAAAGTATGTAGTTATACGTTCGCCTTCTTCCGTCCATTGAACGTATGTATGCACCTTTTGTTTCATTCTCATAAATATTTTCCAGTATTTTTGTTTTTTCTTCAATTTCTTCCTCAATGCTTTAATTGAAATTACTAGCATTGTTTAAAAGTGAATCATTTAGCTGTTTTATTTGGTTTTGTAGTTTCACTTTTTCTTTGTTTTTTTCTTTATTTTTTTTTTGCCATAAAAAATGCAAACGTCTTTAACTCTGACTTTTATTAATTCTCAATTTAAATCTGGGCCGAGAGTTTTTTCATTGTTTTGAGTTTTAATAATAACTTTTCTAATAGTTATTATTATATTTCCAATATCCTGGACCCCTTTTAGAATAATAATAAAAATACAGTATACAGTTATAATAGGCCTTAATGATATATAATAATAAATTTGTAACCATCATCTTTATCAATGTTTTTATAGATGCATTTATAAGTGACTCTGCAGCTTTGAGTTGATTTGATTTATTTAATTTCGGCATAAAACATTGCCAGATGAAACGTCAAAGAAAAAAAAATTAAGTATTAAACAAGAATAAGTAACAACTGCTAAGAATTGTCAAAAGCGTATTTTTATTACTTTTTAAACTCTACTTTTAAGTTAAAAGAGCAAAAAATATATGAAAGTAAATTATAATGTACAATAATAGTTTTTGTGTTGTATGACTTACCTTAAAGATTATATCCATTATGTTTAATTGTCTGAGTAAAGACGTGTGTGGATTATCAATGTGGCGTCTAGCGGCATTCCTACTGCAGTGAAAGACTCGTTTGTTGTGATAATGTATGACAGTATAGA